ATAGATACACAAACATGTCAGAGGAGCACTACTTCAGGACTGAAGGTGGAGGCAGTGTGTTCCTCACAAACGTTGGTGTCTACCTGCGTATCCTCACGGCTGTAAGCCTGTTACGCAAAGGGGCCTGGATCGGTGTTTCACAAGAAAGTTATTCTTGGTTCTCGGAAAGCTAAGTAGATTTTGAGTTTCGCGGAGCGACGAAAATGAAGACAGCGGTGGCATTTGTTATCGGGGAGTTTCTCGTCGTGAATATCTTTCTCCGGCTTTCTAAATATTCGGAATTCGACTGAATGACACAGACTACGCGTATTTTTACATTAGCCTACAGCTGGGAGCAAAATGGGTTTTGGTCAACAGATAAAAACAATGCGATGTGGTAGAATTAATTAATGCAGCACGCATCAGTAACTTATTTTATACAGATCGAGGTCGGTTGATGGTATCGGCGTACGAGGTCCTTCGGGACAAAGTTATTTCCATACAGACTCACGAACGAATGAACTTATTACCATAAAACCTAATGCCGCTTATCTAGTAGCATCTTGCCAGTGCTGCCAACTTTGTGCAGCATGCTACTGTCACTTAACCTACGGCAACAATGGCAACGATTGTGGGCGGAACGATATTATGAAAGGTAATTGTTGCTGCTGCTGTCATTTGTGTACTTTTCTTAGTTTCGCGCTTGTAATTGCTTTTTGCTGACTAGTGGACCTGGGCCTCGCTAATTGTACGCGGTATTCGTATGTTACGCGTATAAATCTTCAGTTGCAGCTGCGTTTATTGTGAGTGGCTTTCGCAAGTGAATGCACGTGGTTACATTTATCTGTACACGTTCTGTGCCTTTATTGGTGTCCTAGAGACGAATCCAGTTGAGATAAAGATGATTGGTGCCACTCGTTTTGAATTTATTCCGCTAAACGGCTGTTAATTCTTCATTATTTCGTTGCACTGTTTTGAATATTGAGTCTTTTTGGTATTGAGATGTCAATTATGTGTGCAGCTGTCCATGGTTCTGTCGGTTATCATATCCTTGCTCGCTGATACTATTTCAGGGACATGTTGGCTGCACTGTTTGTTGTAGTTCTTCTTCTTATTAATATTACACATGAGTAGGCCAGTCTTTACAGTGACTGGCTGTGGGCTGGATCCCGGGTTTCATTACCGGCAGGTGTTTTGTCTTCGCTACTGAGAGGAAGTCCATGTTGGTTCTGGGACCCACCTAACCTAATCTATCCAGTGTGCACGGAATTCTGGTAGCCAGGAAGTACAGCAACCCAAGCTTGAAGCTAATCACTGACCTTCGTCATGAGTACTAAAACAAATGAAACCGCACAATCACGCCAGTCTGCGACCGTTGTGTGATGATATGCGCTGTTTAAAGACAAATTTGAAGTCAGTATTTTTAAAAATCCGACCTTTTGTTGCAAATTTAACCCCACGACAGGCGCAGTGCTAGGGGCATACGTGATATGAACGTCTCTTAGTCAGAATAAGTTAGCTGACGAAATGTGTGGTCGAATATTTGTCCGACTAATCGATCACGCGACAAAATTGGAGCACTGCATTGGTATTGATAACAAGGCCATCCAGCGCTGGTGACCCCATTGCACATCCCGGAACACACCTCTTGTATCTCACTTCCGAACCTGAGCCTACACGCCGAAAACCCGGCTAACGCTTTTGAAAACACGCCTCGGGATTTGGTTAACAATTTTGAAAAATCCGCTAGGTCTAGTAATACTCGAATGTTTAGGATTTGTCTGTGCTTTGCGTATTCAGAATCGTCTGAAACAAAGAGATGATAACATTATCGGGCGTCCTTTTGGCATGATTCAAGTTCCCACATGTTCGGAACTACACGTTCAGTGGTGCTATGATTATAGTGACCCTCTGTCCGATGACTTTCAGGCGGTGCAGGCCCCACTCGTGAAGTACAACTTCATCCTCGAGCGCCAAGAGGGGATCGCCCCATCCAGCGGAACAGAGGCGACACTCACCACCCTCCAGATCGTCGACTACGAGGAAGAGGACGATGAACGCGAAGAACCTGATGACAGGAGGAATGATGATAGAGGAGGAACTACTGATGGTAACCCAGGGGAAGAGGACACTGCCCAACTACCCCATACAGAACCTGCCACCACCACTTCCACACTCTCAACAACTACCCCTTCAACCACCACGCCTTCGACTACCACGCCCTCGACTACCACGCCCTCGACCACTACTCCCTCGACTACCACGCCCTCGACCACTACGCCTTCGACCACCACGCCCTCGACTACCACGCCCAAGCCTCGTTCTACCACACAGATACCCAAGATAACGACAGTGATTCCAAGGGATTCAGGCTCAGAAGAAGTGGGCAGTACGTAATTTTATTGTGAATTTTATCTTCTAACTTTCCAATTTTTATTCTCAAGTCTGGCCTCTTAACATGTGAGAATACGCAGACATGGGTACATACTCAGTCGTCATGCGCTAGGAACCTGTAAAGGCAGTTGGTAATTTTTTTCGACACTTGCCCCTGACAGCCTCATATTGATCTAGGGCGAGTCCAATGTTTAAGATCCAGGAGATCTTCCCTGGTTTTAAAGGTCGTTGGAACGTGAAACTGAAAACTCATTTTTAATAGACCCCAAGATTCACTGCCGCCATGCCCCATGCATTGTTTCCAGCGCCTTGCACTTTCGGGACGTACCCAAACATGAACACCTGCGGATGGACGAACAGCGAAGACGCAGCCCTGGTCTGGCAGACAGGAAGTGGACAGACAAGCAACTGGCTGGGTGGCCCCACCAACGACTTCAGCTCTGATGACTCGAGCGGTGAGCGACCCCAAGTCAGGGCTAGTCTGCTGCAAACTGTCGGTTGACTGTATTGCCGATCGGATTATTGTCACACGAACATGTTCCAGGAGGCTACATTTTTGTGGAGACATCAGAGGTGACGCTGCCTGGGGAGAGAAACTTGCATCCAGGGGCCATTCTGCAGAGCGTTCCCCTTCGTGGCACTGGTCCAGAGGGATCCTGCGTAACATTTGCGTGAGTTACAGCATAAGCCAGATAAATATGCCACGATCTGTGTGTGGGCTTTGAGATTCAAGAGGCAGGATGCAGGGAAATGAAACAAACGGGGGTGGACATGACTACTGCATTTGCCAGCCACATAGTTAGTCTGTCTCTAGTCTCCAGGTTTTCTTTGTTCAATGCGCTTACAGGTACGTGATGGATGGGCTGAGCTCCGCAGAGCTGCGTGCCCTTCTCAAATCGGAGGCTTCGAGTGGCCACACTGTCGTGTGGCAGGCGGAGTATCACACGCAGGGGGTGTGGGTTGCCACACAGTTCCTTTACACATGTGAGGTGCCTCACAAGGCAAGTTCGTTTCGTACAACTCTTAAGAAGGTGAAAGGCAAGATCATCGTGGTGATTGCACGTATCTGTTTCAGATCATGTTTGAGGGCATTCCAGTGGACGTGAGTGACCCCTCTCGTCTGTACCGAGGGTTCATTGCCGTCGACAACATCCAACAGAGCCCTGGAAGCTACTGCAGAGGTTTCTGCACATTTTCTGCAGGGTTCTGTGACTGGGGTAATGGGCAGGGAGATGACTTTGACTGGGCTCTCGTAAGTGAATTGGTTGCTGCGTGTTTAGAAAGTCTGAGTCTCAGCCTTACTGCGCCCCAATGAGCCCCTGCAGGTCCCAATCCCGTGTCTTTCTTCAGCCAGGTTTAAGCACCTCGGATACCATATTGGAAAATAGGCTTGCTCCTCACGCACTTTCCATCTTAGCTTCAGAATTCCGTCATTTCACTTGATGTTACAATGTCTTCGCAGTTGATGCAGCATTAGCAAATACGCTACTAACCAGGTGAGGTGAGGGAATCAGTCACTTGTTATTCTGTCAATTAAGTTTATGTTTTATATACACTCATCAAAATGAGAAGCTTATGGTTGCCTAGCTCATCAGTGTATGGAACCCAAAGGTTCCTCGCTATATTCACCGGAGCCTGCCGCTGGATTACCTGGTCTATACTCTGACTCCCTATTCTTATCAGATCAATTTTAATACATTTTTCCCATCTATGCCTTGGTCTCCCAAGTGGTCTCTTTCATTCTAATTTTCTGACTTCAAATGAAATGCATTTCTTATTTTCGTACGCTGTTTGGTGAAATTCAGAATTGCAGTTACTCTACTCCTCACTGGTCTGTTGAAAAGAGACATTTCAGAGCTTTGTCATGCGTCCGCATCGCTGGTGTTGCAGAGTCGTGGAAGTCGAAACCCGATGACTGGTCCAGCCTCAGACAGTTCTCTGCACAAAAGTGGCGGAGGGGGCTACGCCTTTATCGACTCCAGCTTTCCCAGAAGGCCGGGAGACATTGCACTTCTGAGCAGCCCAGTGTTCTCCCCAACGGGTAAGACAAGGGAGACTGAGAACGCTGCAGAGGAGAATAGTTGGTAGGATTTGAGGTTCTGAAGGTGGGGATGGATCATTTGGAATACAGTGTATTTGGGTTTGATTGTGAATAATCTAATGTATTATATCATAACATTTGGTATAACTGGGAAGATAATATTAAAATGGGTGTAAATTCATTTGGAGGATGCTTTTTTTAAGCTAGGGTGTGGTGGAAGTATTTGTATGAACATGGCAATGAACAACTGAGTTCCATGGAAGACAACTTTTAGCTTCCCAAGAAGAACTCTGCCCCGTGGAGTTTAGCTTGGAATGTTGGAAAGGTACAGTAGGTTGCACAGATTTTTGGGGGTTCTGATTAACCACCAAACACAATTTATTTTCTAAAAAAACTTCTAAATCTCTCACAGATTGTGTGAGAGGTGGAGAAATGACAGGTTCTGATGGTTCTAGGGCTGAATGCACCACGGTGTATGAGGTTCTGGTTCCACATGTTTGGACCAGTGGTTGGGACCCTGCGTGTCCTGCTGATGGCCCACAATTTAAATGCTCCATCCCTGCGCGAGGCCTGGAGCCTGTCTGGTAGCGCAGGCAATGCCTGGTTCATGGCCCAGCTCACTATTTCATCAGTATATGACTTCCAGGTGAGGCATTATTCATCACTCTGACAGTACTCCACAAATTAACTAAAGGTATGAACATTTGACGGCAGAGTTTGATTGCTGATCTGTATGTAACGAGAAACTGATGGTCAGATTGCTCAAAATTCTGAGCATTTGTGCATGCCTGAAGCAAGTTTGTACACAGTGAGCAGCAAGCAGTCTCCAGCAGAGAAAACATGCTGCATGTGGGGATGTTCTTTCTAAACACATCTTGAACCGTTAAGACATATATCAAAAATTAAATTCACAGCCAAACCTCTTCAGGATCACACGTCTCACGAGCTGTTGTGTGATTTTCTCTCTAACAGGCTGCATAATCATCAGTTACAGTACTGACATAGGATTCTCTCACCAAGAATCACACCCGACG